TTTAAAGTAAGTGGTATCTATGATCCACTTGGGCACATCTTTAATGTTTTCACTCAAATTCTTTTGACACCAGATCCACCTCCGTCTCCAAACACACTTATACATATCACATCCTAGCTACATGAATATGAGACCACCGACCTAAAATTGAAATCAAAACTAAAAATATCAAAATCATTTTCATGATGAAACATGATGAAGAACTAAGAATCAGCTAGAAAGATTAGGGTCAACTGGTTAAGATAGGTTTAAAACTTCGTGATGAAACCATAACAGGGGTTTCACAATGACAACAACATCCAAAAAATTGTTTGCGTTTGATGAATGACTCCACTCATTCAGTTCACGGGATGATGAACACAAAAACATGCACAATTATATTAAAAGTGATTTACATTGGTTGCAAAGGTTTTGATTCTAATTATTTTTTCTTCTTACATGAGAGCAGATTTGGAGGTAGATCAAGAAGATCCATCTCAAGAACCACTTGTACCTGGAACCATTTTACAAAAAACTAAATTACCTCCTTCAAATGAAAAACGAAAAATGGGCCAAAAATGTTGCCTAGGAAGTATAATGAATAAAAGGTGAAGATGGTGGTGACAGATGTGGGTTAATCGAATCCATCTCCATCTGATTTCAGACATTATGGGTCAAAAAATGGGTTCATCACATCCCTCTCCATCTTATTGGAGGAAAACACGGGTGAAATCAAATTTGAGAGATGGAAAGGGAAAGGGAAATCAAAATGGGAATTAAAAGGGACAAAAAAAACCTCAAGACATCTACGGTTGTAGGTGTTAGTGTCATGTAGCTACTAAAACTCCAAAAGTTCAAAAAAAACCATATTAAATCACAATAAAAAATCGATAACATGCTCATAAATGAAGAACCTACAATAGAAAAAAAAAATAAAGACAAATGAAATCATAGATCCACGACACTGACAGAGAGAAAGGGATAGGGATAGTGGGTGAGAAACCTTGGTAAGCATCTGTCTTCAAAATACCAAACAAAACGTTGATTGTGTATGTGTTTTTGGGTTTTCAAAGAGAAGAGAGAGACAAATAGGGTTTCTAAAAAGCTCAAGCAAATCAGTCTCATGTGTTTATTCAAACAAATTAGTAACTCTCATTGAATTCTCTTTGTTCCTCTGCCTCATATCTGAACCATCAGATCTCTTGGCTCATGCTCTCATACTCAGATGAACATATGCTTCCTTTGCTCCACCGGAAACCATCGTATCTGAGCCTAGTGGTTTATCGATAAATGATTCAGGTAATGGGTCTTTGAAAGCCTACAAACTACAAAACCAATTCGAAATTTCAAGCGTTATCACCAAATTGGATAATAATGGAGTCGTGGTTTTTGAGATTGAATGTTCATGAGGGAAGTGAGAAAGAAAATGAGGTGATGAATTTTGAAATGGGAGCTAGGGTTTTTAAAGTGATTATTGAAAAAAACTCCATTAGAGAACATAAAAGTGTAAAAAAAAATCCCTTGCTTATTATTAATTAGAGTTTTATAGTGAAGAACCAATGAAATCCAAAGCCAATATAGAAAATCAAAATCTTCAAGAACCCAAAATCGAAACCAAACATAAAAAATATCAACTTAGGGCTAGAAAACATAAATTGATTTAAGGTTCTTACCTGATACTACCGGACAGGGGTGTGTCGTCGCTAGTTCAACCAACACTAGCTAGAAAAACTTCTGCGAAAAAATTAAACCAAATAATCAAAGGAATAAGGTACCGAGAGAGAGAGAGAGAGAGAGAGAGAGAGAGAAGAGAGAGAGAGAGAGAGAGGGAGAGGACTTTAAATGGAAACCGAGTCTTAGGTCGAGGAGAAAGAAAGAAGAAGGAGATGGGTAGTGGTGGTTGTTTCCTTAATTGAAGATGGATATGGTTTTGATCATTCGAACAACAGCTGATAAAGGTGATGAAGCTATGTTAGCAGAGGTCGATTTAGGGTTGTAAGAGATAAAATGAGAGAAATATATTGAGAGATGGTGAGTGTGGCAGAAGAGATACGGTGAAAAGAATGAGCGTTGCAGTTCTTGAAATCAGCAGAAAGAGATATAGGGGAAGTCGGGCCTAACCTGAGAGATCTTTGGCGACATTTGATGATTTAACATAGACTTCAGATTAATAGGCTGAAAGTGAGGAATATTGATTCAATGGCCGACTTGACTTTTGTTGACAAATATGATTTCAATGCATAAAACGTTTGTAAATTTTTCTTTAAAATTTGTAGCTCTTAAAATTCAGTATTTGAAGCTAAATGCTTATTAATATATATATATATATATATATATATATATATATATATATATATATATATATATATATAAACCGACATAAGTACGTCAATCACCATTCTCTAGTATTATTAACTAAGTGTGAGACTCATGTATTACATGAGTTTATTTAAAAAAAATATAAAATTTTAACAATTTGAAAAGTTTGGATTTATAAGAAAAATGAGAAATTTTTTGAATTATTAAAATTAATGAAGCTTTAATGTATTGAATACATTACATATATAAAATTTTCTAATAAATACCTTACATATATATATATTACCTTACATATTAAATGTGAAATTTTAATTTAATAAAATGAAAAATACAATAAAATAACAAGTGGAAAATAGAAAATTTAAAAATTCTAGAAAATATCATGTATCCAAATGAAGGAGAAGAGGACATGTGGCAAAAAAAACCTTCATTTATTATAGTAGAATATTAAATGTGAAATTTTAATTTAATAAAATGAAAAATACAATAAAATAACAAGTGGAAAATAGAAAATTTAAAAATTCTAGAAAATATCATGTATCCAAATGAAGGAGAAGAGGACATGTGGCAAAAAAAACCTTCATTTATTATAGTAGATGAGAGGTTTGAACATATTAGTCATTTGATCACTTTATACTTTCTAGGTATAACTACAATTCATTATTGTCAAAAATATTACGAGGAATATTTCGTTTATATCCTTGGGATTTTTAAATATTACATTTATATCTTTCCAAATTTTAAAATTACATATATATATCCGTATGAAACTATAAAACCCCCTCCAAATTCAAAATTTAATTAGATTTAAACTAATTTAATATTAACAAATTTTTCTAGAAATCAAAATTTCATATGATTATATAAATATAAAATAGATTATATAAAATACCCTTCCAAGCCATTAACCAAAATACTTGCCAATTCTGAAACGGGCAAACCTATTGCGTGTCTGCATGGTTAAAAATGAAAAGTAAAATTAATTTTTTTGAAAAGGGACGAATGGTCAATGACTTCGAGCCTATGTGGGAAGAGACATGGGTTTAATAATACCCAAAAGGGTGCCTCTTCTTGTGGGAATATTTTCCCTAGAAATGATTGTAATCTGTAGGGGATAAGTTTGCCTTATAAAAAGCTTGAACCCCGAATGCTCAAGGATTTAAAAAATAAAAGGTTTAGCACAAATTTGCACTTGCATCCTGTACACACACAGGCATCATTAAACAATCAATTTACAAGATAAAGGGCACGACGGTGGTATTATTTATTGAAAAACAATATTTGGAATAAAGAGATGTAATTAAATGGATCCAAATATCCGCAAGATTTATCAAAATTGGATTTTATTCAAGTGATTGTAGGTATAGTAATAGATATGCTGATATAGATATTTGTATAAGCATCATTAACATAATTGATTAGATAAAACTGTAAAAACTACAAATTTGGCTACAAAAAAAAAAAACTAACATACATAATAAAATGTATAATGTACAAGTATTTACGCATCGTTATTCAAACAAATTCAACACAAACCCTAAACTCAGGTTCTTTTTCAATCACATCATATTCCCCGACCCTGCGATACCCTCCAACCCCACTTCTCGATGACTTTCCGGTCACCCTTCTTGCCGCAGCACACGACCCACCACCACCACCCGTCGCCGCCACTGGCCCACCGGAAAAACAAGGTCGTGATGAAGCTGATGTGTAGCCAAATTCAGCGTCATCATGGTGTTTCAGAAGCTCAGACATAAGCAATACAAGAGAAGCCATAATTGCCTTTTTATATTTTTTTTTCACCCATAGAACTCTTTCAATATGCGTGTGTATATATATATATATATATATATATATATATATATATACATGGAGAGTAGAAATGTCAGCCCATAGTAATAATTAAATATGGTGGCTGATACTCTGTTGGCTGCAGCTGTTTTACTCTTTTTCTTCGGATACTAAAAATTCAGTTGGCCTATTCTGATAATTAAAAATGGTGGCCTAATTCCCATGTTTTTTCTTCATTGAAAATTCAGTCGTATACTAATAAATTATCACAGTTAACAGACCCAAAAAATAAAACTTTCCACTTTTGGATTGGAGATGTGCCATAAAAAAATAAGATTAATATCGAATGGGCCGATGGCCCACATACAGCTTTCTCTTGGTTTCTTGCTTCAATCAGCCGACGTCGGACGCAAAGCCTTCCACTACTACTGACTTCCTTCACAAAAAAAGTTAAGCCAAAAGAACATCGTTTATCCTTTTTGTTTTTTATTTGTATATGAGTGTTCATATATTTATTTTTTTCTTTTTATTTTAAACAAACGAAAACAACGTTCTTAATGCATCCATTGATGGTGTAGCTGCATACCATAACTACAAGTTAAAAAACCAAAGCCGGTGAAGAAACTCCTGATCTTTCTAAGCTTTCTGCTACAAGAAGTCAAGAACTACATCATCCCCAACATCAGTTGCAGTTTAGTAGATTCAAAATTTTCGAAACCAATCCCATTCAAAATGTATCTGAAAACAAGACTTTCATTATTTAAATGTGACAAACACATTTAATTAAGTGTGTTTTTTTTTCTAACACTAATTAAAGCGAAATTAGCAACAACACAGATCCAATACAGGTGTTAAAAACCATATTGACATTGATACCTCAAAGTTCTACTCATCAAGTCCAAGTGTCTTCCTCATCTGTTGAACAAAGGCATGGACCTTTAGTTGGTCAGGAAGAGAGTTAGATACGCTCTCCTTGTTCTGAAAGCACCTTTTAGCCCAAGCGAACAATTTTGGGAATTCTTGTTCTATGTTAAATTCCCCGTAGGTTTTATAGGAATGAAACCTTGAATAAAATGGGATCAAAGATAGATCAAGGTACCCGAAACTGTCACCTCCAAAGTAAGGCTGGTCTCCAAGCTCTCCTTCAATCAGTTTCAGGCAATATATGAACTCTTTCCTTGCTGCATCTTGTTCTTCCCCTGTTGTCATGCACATGTTCCTCCCAATCAGGAATATCTGCATTTCCGTAGACAAAGTTATAGAAAAAGATTCGATAATCTAAGACCATTTTGCTCACTTTTAACTGAGATATGTAGATCTGGGTTGAAAATTACTTGATTACTTAGTTAAAACACACTTTCAATTCATTTGAGACGACCAAAATCAATATATTTGGAATTCTCTAAGAGGGCGAACCAACAACATGACTCCAACCCTGAATCATAAATATGTTAAATGCTAGATAGAATATGAAAAGTAAATTGAGGGAAAAATCAAGAAGGGTCAAAAGTTACCTTCTTATCAATAAAGTCAGACCAAAACCTTGCACGAGCTTTGCCATAAGTATCAGAAGGAAACAATGGAGATTTGTCTTTCCAGACTTCATCGATATATTCAACAATGATGCTTGACTCGCAGATCGGTTTGCCGTTGTGGATGAGAACCGGAATCTTCTTGTGAACCGGGTTCATCTCCAAGAGAAGCTGGCTTTTGTTCCTCAAATCCTCTTCTCTGTGTTCGTATGAAACACCCTTTTCAGCAAGGGCGATCCTGACCTTCATTCCATACATGCCAGCCCAGAAATCCAGTAGAATCACCTCTTCTTGTTTTGCCATTGTTGGGTTCTTGGTGATATATCATCGCTTTGTGTTTGTGTGGAAGTATGTAGATATATAACGTATATCTAGAAGCACGGAAGCATGGAAAAATTAAGTAGGCACGTAAATCCAAGTGTTAAATTGTTTTATTTATATGAATGTCGACAAAAATACTGTTATTTTAATTTTAAATCTAAAAGTTGGCCGACAATTTAGTATACAATAAATTTTAAATGGGTTTATCTACTTAAACAAATTTCAAGCCGATGGCTTTGTGGTTTGGCTTTGTGGTTAGTATAGCCGGTGAACAGTCTTCGTTTTTTGGAGCTTGGCTTCAATTCGCATGGTCATCGGCTTTCTTCACATGCGTATTCATCTTCCTCTCTCTCTTTAGCCCTCTAGTACGTCGACGAAAACTTCGTCTCCCTTTACCTTCGAGACACAAACAGCGATTGGGACTTCTCTCACATCTACTCGCTGCCTTCTCCTCGTATCCATCTTCTTTATGTTGCTCTTTTATGGGCATTTAGCTCCTCCACCACTATCATCTATCGGCTTTGTTAATTGATTTTTGTAGCTATGCTCAGTTGTATGTATGTGTGTGTGAAGACGATGTTGTTGGCGACCGACAAAGAATCGTCACTGGGAAAATGAATCGGTCATGGTTGTTGTCGTCGTCATCACCTTCATTTGGGAAATTGATTGCATCTGGGTTATCCTATCCTCAAAACAAAAATTAAACATTTTATATCTTCTCCCCCTCTCGAGTTCGCCTATGTTTTCCTCTAGGGACGACATCGTCGGTATGTCACTGCTTCCCGGGAAAAACAATGATTTTCAGTTTCGATTTCTGTCGATGGAGGTGGTGCTGGCACAAATTGAAGGTAATCTTCTGTGTAACGTTTGGTTTAGGTATAAGCTTATTCTTCAACTTTTTGTATTTTCCTTTGGGACTCGACGAGTTGGAAGCTTTAACTCGGTGTGTCGAGAGAGCTTTGGCCGCAAAAACTAATGAACCAACTCGACGAGTCGAGGTGCTTCAACTCGGCGAGTTGGCGGCTCGGAAGGAAATCCAAATTTTTAGGGTGTTGCACCCTATTTAAAGGCCTTAAATCCCTTGGTTGGCCTCCTTACCAGCCTCATCTGTCCAGAAACCCTAATAGCATGCATCATCTTCTTTTTTGTGAGTGTGTGAGCTTGTGGAGGGTCTTGAGTGTTGATCTTTTGTGCTCTTTTGAAGAAGATTTGAAGTTGGAGGTGTAAAGCTTGAGGGGAAGACTTAAATCCGGAATCTCCCCACTTGTTGTGGTCTCTTGGAGGTATCAAGTTTATACCTTACCTTATTATCGTTTAGGTCTCTTTGTTTTGAGGTTTTATCTTGATTTTAGGCTCATGGGTAAAATTTTCCAAGAGGTTGAGTGTTCCAAGGGTTGTTATGTTAGATCTTGGGCAACACCTATACCCAACAATCTTCCCCTTTGCATCAATTGAGGCGGGAGGATCTTCACTCTGGAACCTTTTTGTGGTCTTGAAGATCTTGGGCATCACAATAGCAAGAGTATTGTGAAAGGCAATGTACCACTGAATCATATCATGAAAGTTCTTCTTTGAAGCTGCATCATTCGCTGAACACTACTCTATAATCTCCATAATATAGTTTAAGCATGTCGTGGAGAAGAGATGTTTGTCAGATAGTGCGAACAAACATTCTTCAAAGTTACCACGTTCTACTAAACCACGATGAAACATCACAGTCCATTTAGTGTTGTCAATCTTCCCCATCTGCATTTTATTGAGATCAGTTGGTACACCTCTAGGAAGAACAGTTGGCTTTCGCTTTTGAGTGGTGGCGATCTCCATGTCTAGCTTCGCAACTTCATTAACATATGAAGTCAACATCCTCTTGGCATGCTCCAAAATAGGCTCATACTTCTTTTCATCATTCAACAAATAATGTAACAAAACGATCCAATCATATTGGTTAATACAAGGGAGATCAACAAGAGTGAATTCATGTATAACTTTCTTCAAACCTATTGTTGTTTTAAATTTGACGTTGACAAAACTCCCTATCTCTATTGGCCCAATAACCTTCACTGTTGTGATATTCTGAGCACTCCATGTTTTGTATTGAGGCTTTCCATGCTTGAGATAGAACTCCATCAATGACTTGTTCATTTTCATATTAGATGTAGTTGTGTTTATTATTGGTTCAAAGCATCGGAAGATGAAGGCTTTCGCAGTCATGGACATGTCAAACTGTGATTTAATAGCTTCATTCATTATTCGGGGATTCAATAGCTTCATTCATTATTCGTTCCAAATTCCATGCTGGAAACAAGGACTGCCGACTTTTCAAGGCATCTTGGGCTTCACATTCAGCCTGCTCCTTCTCTTCAGCCTCTCTCGTAATGTGAGCGTTCTCTTTTAATTCAGCATCACAAGCCCTTTGTTTCAACTTATCAACTTCGTTTTCTTCTTATTCATCATCATTATCATCCCTAAGTTTCTCTTTACCCTTTGAACGCGAAGTTTCATTATCATTATTCTTCGAACTAGTTTTTGATGGTTTGTCCTCATAATTACCAGAGGAGCCACCTAGAAGTTTTGAAACTTCTCCCCCTTGTTTTGGATGTTCAAGAGACACCGAAACACCCACCAATCTGTTAAGCATAGCCACTGCAGGACAAAGTTTTTCAGCCACGTATCAACGAGTGGTGGGGGAGCAAAGGATCATGGGCTTCAATCAGGTTTGAGAAAAGAGCATTAATATCTGAAACACAGCTTTTCATTACAACACATTCAGATTTAAGCTCAATGATTTCATTGTTCGCTGTAGTGAGCTTCATAGACAACACCTTAACCCATGTAGTTTTTAGAGTCAGCTCATCCATTATCCTACTTTCAACTGCCAAGTCTTCTTGGAGTTTTGCAATTTGAGAAGAGATAGAGGATTGAAAAGTTGAATGATCAATTTGAAGATCATTGCAAACTTTTTGGAGAGCTTCTTTCTCGATGCAAAAGGTAGTTGTGAGATTTTCAATCACCTTGTTTGCATTGGTGGTATATGTCTCTGCTTGATGTTAGCCATAAATGCCTGAGCATCAGTGATTAGTTTATTGATTTTTTCGGTCGTTATCTTACAAGAACGAGCATAATTCTCAATAGTTTTGTTGGCTTGTTCCTGATTCACAGTGTGCTCAGACACCAAAGTATCAAGCATGGCCTTAACAACCACTTTTGAGTAGGTAGATTTGGATGAGGAAGTGTAGGAGGCAATAAAAGAATCCAATTTCTCATTAATGACTTTGAGATGCCTCTAAGTAACAGAAGTATCATCATCATTGTCTTGATGAACGGTAAAAGGACTATAGTGAAAACTTTCAAACCTAAAAATATCTTCACCAAAGATTGTTTCACTATCTCCCTGTCAGAGAGGATAAATAGAAGGTGTAACTTGACTAGACACGAAACCTGAAGTTCCTGCCCCTACATCAGATGTGTTGACAGTAACTATAGGTTCGTTGGTTTGGGTGGTGGTTGTAGTGTTGGAATCGGTGAATAGTGGAGTAGATGAGGGAATACTGCTTTGTAGTTGAGAAGTAACTGGTGGAGGGAAGGGTGCAATAGTAATAGGTTTAAAGGTGGTTTTTGGTGAAGGAGGAGGAGTAGGAAAGAAATCGTTATAGGTTGGAGTTACCCCTGGATTATATGTAGCCTATTCATTCTGAACATGCTCCTCCTCTTCATTGCAAATTGGTTGTTCTTCCTCATTACGAACATCGGACTGAGTGTCAGATTGCGAATGTTCACTTTCAGAAGGTGTGGGGGACTTAGTTTTGCGACCAACTCTTTTCAACTTTCGCTTTTTAGGAGCAACTGCTGATGGAGTAGCCTTCTCCTTTCACTTCTTTGGAGTGTTCGCAGGCTCAGATGGACCTTCCTTGTCTCCCTTTTTCTTTTCTCCCTTTTTGCCCCCTTTTTTACCCCTTTCTTAGGTTTATCTGCTTCAACTATAATCGACTGCATTTTAGGAGTTAAAGTATGAAAACCTGAGGAAGGAAGTGAACGATAGCCTTAAAGAACTTTGCTGGCAGGAGGCACATCACGAAGCATGGCTTCAGGAGTTGAGCTGACAAAAGCAAACTTAGAAGAATCAGCAACAATGATTCTAGTGGTGTAAAGATTGCAACACTAAAATTCAGGGCATCTTGCATAATTGGAATCTACAACTTGGTGATGGGCCTCTGAACAATGATGGTGTTGGATTAGTGTTTAAGTCCATTACTATTTTGGTATGTACTTGACCCGATTGTGCATGGTCCTTTTGGGTTGCCTTCACCAAAAGGAACTTGATTGGAGAAATAAATAGAGAGAGAGGTTATTATGATTTATTAATATGTTATAAGAATAATATATTAAAGGAGAAATCATATTTGTTTAATTAATATTGGTCAATAATTAATTAGGAATTAATTTTGTGATCAAGTGTAATTAATTAAACTAGAGGGGTTGATTTGTAATTATGTGATAGTTACAAAATAAGGTAAAGATTATCTTAAATATAGGGTGGACGAATTTAAGGTGATAAGGCCTTAAAATTCGACTATGATAAGGGTTCAAGGATTATCTTATGGGTTGCTTTGTGAATAAACAACTAGATAAGGATAATGACTGAAACCCTATCTCTACACCTATATAAAGACCCTAAGGCTCATGAATTCGTGTATCCCTTCCCAAGAAGTCCTAAGGACGAATTCTAACCTCTCTCCTCTCTCTTTATACCTTCTTCATTTGCTCTTGGTGTTTGTAAGCCATTAGAGGAGTGACACTTGTGACTCTAAGCATTCCAAAGTCAATTCAAGGTGGAATTGGGATTGTTATTGCTACATAACAATCAAGGTAACATCTTAAACCTAATTATATGTTAATATCGATTTCCATATGCTAGAATTAGGGTTTATAGTCTTGGATTCAAAGCATGTACAATAGTGAAACCTAGATCCAAGCATTAGGGT